CCTAGATACTCCGGTAAGGACTGCGTCATCGCCAGAATGGTTGGCTCGCGCGGGTGCTGGCACCTCGCGCATATACTACTGCTATGCGGACGTCCTCGCCACTAACATCGCGCACATACTCCTGCTCTGTCTACACAGCCTCCGCCCATCCCGACTGTTTCTCGCCACGTGCACCTATAGGGCCACGACCAGCCCTAGATACTCCGGTAAGGACTGTGTCATCACCATTTAGCTCGCGCGGGCGCGGGCCGGCGCATATACTCCTGCTACATGGACAATCACACCGGCATCATCGCGCACATACTCCTGCTCTACTGTGTAGTGACCCGGGTTGCTCACTCACGCTACAGGGATATCTATTCATCGACGCCTACGGCAGCCACAATCTCGCGCACATACTCCTGCTCTGGTCTACACTGCCTCTGCCCATCCCGATCCATTTCTCGCCACGCGCACCTATAGGATCACGACCAGCCCTATATACTCCGGTAAGGACTGCGTCATCACCAGGATGGTTGGCTCGCGCGGGCGCGGGCGCTGGCACCTGGCACATATACTCCTGCTACACGGACAACTACACCGGCATTATCGCGCACATACTCCTGCTTTGTCTACACAGCCTCTGCCCATCCCGATCCGTTTCTCGCCACGCGCACCTATAGGACCACGACCAGCCCTATATACTCCGGTAAGGACTGTGTCATCACCGATATTGTTGGCTTGCGCGGGAGCGGGCACCTCACGCATATACTCCTGCTACACGCACGCTGTTGCACCATTTCCTTGCGTGCTTGACTGCTTGATGTAAATATCCCATTTGTGGCTACACTGCCGCAACGCGCTGAGGCTTTAGCAGCGTGCGACACATACTCCAGCGTGTGCTGCGCAATCCCTGGGTTGTGCACGCCCTCGCGTGCACCCATCGCATCCCACCTGACCGCGTCGCCACGCGCCGAACCTCTCCGAGTGTATGGTCATTTGCGTTTGTTCCTCCGTGCGTGGTGCTCGTTGTATACGTGTCGTCTCTGTGAACTCGCAAGAAGAACTGTCAGGTGATGTGCTTGCTATGTTGATGTTTTCTTGCTGTGATCGTACTTTCTGAAATCGTGCTTTCACTGACTTTATCAGTCTCAAGCATAATCGTTGACGTCTGTGTAAGAATGCATTCCTATGACACGCGGCGCTCATACTAAGTCCGACCTCATACTTGCATGCACTACTCTCCAATCGGGCAACTCATCTCACACATTCACACTCCGCTATCACCCTTGCCGTTTCTCTTATTACCGGCGAACACTTAGCACATACTACAACGAGGATAAGAAAACGAGTTCCGACCTTGGGACACGGCTTGGCCGCTCCTCGAACGCCAGACGAGGGTCGAATTTTCTTCGCCATTGAGTGATTTGATCTATAACATATCAAGCTCAAGCTCACAAAAGAATTGAAACGGACGTACCGCTGGGTATGAAATCGATTCAGGTACTTGCAAGCCGATCGGCAATGGAGCAGACGGCGAGGAAGCCGATCAAGCGGAGTCAGGGATATCACATTGCCGATCACGTGACTTTTCGAATTCCGCTTCGAGAGCCTAGGACGATACCTCACCACGGCAGAACTGTCTTTGTGGATGCCAGTTCCTAGCTCGCGTATGTCGGACGTATGGGGGACTGTCCTCACCTCGCGCAACACTACCTCCACTATGACAGATATTTTAATTGCTCTGGAGAGAACACTCCCGTCCTCATACGGTTCAACCTCGTCGCGCAAGACTCCGACATGGCGTCCACCACTTGCCCGGGACGATTCGAAAAATACAAATATGTACGTGGGCTCACGCGTGACAGTGCTGACAGTGCCCGTGTTGCAGCCTTTGGATTGTCCACCAGCTCCGCAAAAGCCGATGCAATCGCCTCCCGCACCCCTCACCGTACGGTTGAACTCCAGTCGGTCTCGCACAAGACATATAGGCCGTGCCACGACTTGTAACGGAAGATATAGGTCCGTACGCGTTTGTGGCAGATGTAGGCAAGGCACTCATTCGGTTAATCTCGTCGCGCCAGACTCCGATACGGCGACCACACTTGCCCGGGACGATTCAAATATACAAATATGTATGTGGGCCTGCGCGTGACAGATGGAAGAAGTGCTGACGGCATCCGTGTTGCAGCCCTTGGATTGTCAACCGGCTCCGCACAAGCCGACGCAATCGCCTCCCGCACCCCTTACCGTACAGTTGAACTCCAGTCGGTTTCGCACAAAACATACGGGTCGTGTCATCACCTGAAGAAGATATAGGTCCGTACCCGCGTTTGTGGCAGACGTAGGCAAGGCGCTTATGGCATCAGTGTTGCAGCCTTCAATCAGCTGCAATCTTTGCACGGATGGGAACATGCAATGGTCTTCCATGGCCGTGTCTGTTACTGTCTGTTACTTGTGTGTTGTGACGTAGAGACATTGCGCCGTCCCGTTGCCACCCCCCCCCCTCTCTCTCTCATTGTGCACCCCTAGGTGGGGGGTGCGCACGCTGTGTCGAATCCCTCATTGTGGTATCAAAACGATTGTATTTATGCGAGAGGAAGAAAATCGTATGAACTTGCGCATGCTTTTTGTACAAATATCGTAGGAGGGTGTGCATCCTGAGTGTTTGTAGTATTTCACCTAATACCGGAGACCGTTAGTATGAAGTTTGCGACATGAGGAGTCTACAAAAATATGGCTGAAGCCTCGAAGCTAGTTACAGGTAGGATGGTGGATTCATTATTTACGGCAATCCCTCCTGCTCTGGAATCTCTCTTGCAAGAGCTTCGAAATCCTCGATAGTTTCCACAGATGCGGTGGATGGGGTGACAGCCTCAGAGTCCACAATATGATCGTTGTAGAGTTTGGTGAGGTCCAATATGACGCGAGGTTGGCGGAGATTCGCGTGAGCGGAGAGAAAAAACCGAAGGTATAGTCGAAGTGGCCAGAGGTCTACGTAGTGCCAAAGGTAGTTCCAACCTTTGTGGTTGGCTACCTGGAAACATTGTTATATTTTCGGGCGCTGACAACATATCTGTGCATAAACGTACATCACCGACCACCATTCCGGTAGCGAATGTCGGCTGATCTTGATAGACGCGGCCTATGGCCAGCCGTGCAGACGCTAAATCGCGGATGCGTCTCTACATGTTCCAGGATGTATCCGTCAAACGGTATCCCGCACACCAGTAGCAGAAACTCGCCTTAATTTGGGGCCAGTCCTTTTCCAATTTTGGCTCCATTGGCGACATCATTTCTTTCAACGCAAGCTTACGCCCATCAGGGCCGCTGCGTCTAGGCTTTTCAATGCAGTGGAAAGGTGCGTTATCCATGTGAACGGTGTAGAAAGGGTGGAAAGGACTAAGTACACCTTCATGGTACATATGTGGGAGCTAAGGGGGCATGGAGCGCTCGTTTCACGCAACACGCTCGAACGAATTGTGAAATTTTCGCTCGAGTGTAATAGCAGAGAATTTCATGCGTCGATGCGGGCCCAATCAGGGGTGTCAACATCCGCATCGCTCTCATTGCTATCCTCTTCCTCCGTGTCAGACGCGTACTCATCATCTTCGACGCTCTGCAGCGCCTGCAATTCTGGTTAAGATGTGTCGTCAGCAGCAGCGACACACCCGTACAAACGACTGACCCGTCATGGATGTATCTTCAGCAGATGCATTCTCCGCGCATATTGCAGCTTCTGTCGAAGCCACAGTTGCCGCGATTGATTGCGAGGTATTGACATGCGAAGACGTCGGAGAACGTCTGTCTAGAACCCTGTCAGGCTTTCGTTGACACGAAGGATTTCCGCCGCACATACCTGACGTTGTACCTGCCACTATGAGTTATTTGAGTTGAATCTCCTTGGGATTGGATCAAAGGAAGGACACATACCAAACACGACCTGGACGGTGTCGAACTGCGATGTCCACTCGCCTCCGAGATCCTTAATCTTGAGCAAAGGTAACCATCTGGACGCGAAGACTGCACCAAGCCTGGT